AACAGAACCACATAAAAAAAATGACACGCATATAACTGCCGATGAGCTGAGGATAAACACGAACCAGAATGCGCATCTAGGGCCCCAGAGGCGGAGATGTACCAGAAGTCAATGAACAATCACCCCGATTGAAATCGAAGCTCACCATCGCTGAGCAAGAGAAGCGCAGCAGCTGCCGAGGGAAGCTATCCACCTGAACGTTTACTTCGTCGTCGCCTCAACGCACGCAAATCCGCTCGTCCCGCTAAATTGCGCGCAGCCGCTCGTGCTCGTGTCAACTCCGTTAAATCGGCCAGAATTGTAAAGGCTAAGGTTGCAACAAAAGCACGCTCAGCTCGTCTGCAACAATTGCCACAACAACAGCAGTTCTTTGTTCCTCAACAGTTTGTTGCACAACAGCAGCAACAACCTCTTTTCTACTACACCGCTGGTCAACTGCAGCAGTGGTAAAGATAACTCCATTCTAAATATTTTTTTCTGAAAGAAGGTGATGGGAATCAAATCGGTATTATGACCTTATTACAAGTAAACAAGGGGGCATAGAAAATTGTTAACAATTAATATTAAGATAAAAGAAGACAAAAGTGATAAAGATTTAAGAATTGTTAAAGATTTTTTTAGACTGAAAATAAAAACAAAACCAATAAAAGCGAATTAAGTGTGTTATGCAATTGAAGGCCTGACATCGTCAATTATAAGTCGTCGAAGTTGTCGTATGGGAAATAGTTAAAAAGTTTCGGTAAATTCAAATTGTTTCTCTATTTATAGCTGTTTGCCATTTCTCAGCTCGCTTCTGCTCTTTGGTAAAAAAATACATGTAAAAGCAGCAATAAAGTTATCGATTTGAATTTGTACAAGAGAGACTGCGGAAATCTAAAGTGGGTAAACCGCTATCTTCAGTGCTACGAAGCTTCGTTTGGTATATTTTAGATCAGTTTTACTATTGTGAATGGTTTAAATGACAAAGGAAAATACAAATTGCTTTTTTCTTGTATTTTTAAAACTTAAGGGGATATTCTAGTGTAGAATTAAAATAAAAAATTTTTTTTTGTTGCATTTTTTCAAAGTTTTTTGAAAATTTAAATTATTTTCTGAGATATAGACAGTTTAGTGACCCAGCCTCCAATCTGGTTCGGCTGGGTCTAATCGAACAAAAGACTTCACGCGAAACTATAAATGCGTTTTTCTAAGACCAAACTTTTTCAATACGATACCCATGCTTTCTCGAGTTCTACTGGACCGATTTACTTGAAATTTTCAGAGAATCTTTGTTATAAACTCTTTCGAATATGAACTAGCTTCATCCCAAAATTTAAATTTGTACTATTTTAAAAAAATACGAACAAAGAAAAAAATGGTAAAAAAAATTGTTTTTGTTTTCAAACAATTGACATTGTGTTAAACAGTTTTTTGTTTTACTTATCGCTAGTTCAAACAATGCGACATCACTACGGATTATAATATTTTTTTCTTTATTTCAGATTTTCTTCAATTCAGATTTCATGGGTATGCTCATGTGCTAATTTTTTGAGACCCCTATCCTCAGCTGCTAGTTTTTAAAATTTTTAACTTTTTTTTTTTTAATTTTTTCTGTAGTCTTGTAACATAAATAAATAATTAATAAAAAATCGACAGTAAAAATGTTGGTTTTTTTTACAACACTTTAAAAATTACCTAAAATTCATGTTTCTAGATAGCATACCCTCTTAAGTCTTAAATTGAATTATAGTAATTTATAGAACACAAAAATTAAGGGTTATTACAATGCGATAAAAATAATTAATCCACTAAATAAGGTTTATAACTCTATCGCGCATGCGTCAGAAGACATGTTAGCGCATGATAAATGACGAATGATGAAATATAAAATTATATTCTTTACGACATCTCGAAAGCATTAGACATTCTATGAAGGTCTCCCTCCGCGAAGGCGTTCTAGTGCCGTACATCATAACCGCTTAAAACTGTAGATGTAAGCTCAATTGAAACTTAAAATAGTCTTCACCGACAGACTAACCGAGAGCTAGACATCTCGAAATAACTACCAGTATTTTGAGATGCCACGAAGAATTGTTGAGTGTGTGCAACATATTTCGGTACTATAAAATTAGCAACTAAACCGAATTCAATCCCACAAACTTTGAAGTTAAAGAAAACATTCCCCAAAAATGCTTAGAGAAACTTCATGACAATAATTCCTTCCAATTTATTGCATCAGGACTTAATATTTCGCTTATAACAATCACGGCTCAAAGGTACACCTATTTATTTATACCATACACTGGCAGCCTATTTAAATATAACATCTATTAGTTGCATCATAGAAAGGAGAACGAAAACGATATAAAAAATAGGCAAATGTACGCCATTTGTACAAACATACAAAAACAGAACTTTAAATTACGGTACTGCGAAGCGTGAACAATCATTAAATATTAATAAGGCATTTTATGAACTTTTAAGGTCATTACCGCCAAGCGCAAAGCAAACGCTTTTACGACAAATTAAAGAAATTAGTATAAAAGCCTGAACTGCTGGGAAAATAGTATCAGTACTTGGTATTACTTACCTAGTAAAGTACATACTACTAAATATTTTAGAAATGACTCGTTTCCTACAAATCCTGTTAGTGGCCTCCCTGGCTTTTGCACTCNACAAAAAAACGCCAACAAAATATTTAATTACATTTTTAAAAGACCTTTAGAAGTTCCCCGTATTTGGAAGTAACAAAAACGTAAACTAAAAATTACGCTTGTATGTATAAAAACACAAGCATTTCGTTCAATCGGCATCAGTTCACAGCTACCAAAGTTCGGTACAGCAACTAAAAACAATTCTCAAACATGTCTCGTTTCTTCCAAGTCTTGCTCGTCGCCTGTTTGGCTTACGCACTCTGCGCTGCGGAAGCTCCACGTTATCGGGTTCGCAATGGACGCATGCAACTCTCCAAACAACGTAGCCGTTTCTTGGCGCGTCAGGAAGTCGCTGAGGAAACAGCAGTGACACCATACCCCTCCGCTAAGGAACTGATTCCAGAGATTCCATTTGATGAAGCCGCCGCCGCTGCTGCACCTGAAGTTCCCGTTGAACCCGAAGCACCAGCTGCACCCGAAGGCGACATTAATGTCTCTGTGAATGTTGATCTACCAGCCGCGCAGGAACCAGCTCAAGAAGAAGCTGATGAATCCGCTTTTGCCGATGATGCTGAGGATGAACACGAACCCGATCTCATTTATGGCCCACCAGAGACGGAGGATGTACCAGTTGTCAATGAAATCACCCCCGTTGATGAAATCGAAGCCACCATCGCTGAGGAAGAGGAAGCGCAAGCAGCAAGAGGAGATGTACATTTTAAAGACCTTCAGAAGTTCCCGTATTTGAAGTAACAAAACGTAAACAAAAATTACGCTGTATGTATAAAACACAAGCATTTCGTTCAATCGCATCAGTTCACAGCTACCAAGTTCGGTACAGCAACTAAAACAATTCTCAAACATGTCTCGTTTCTTCCAAGTCTTGCTCGTCGCCTGTTTGGCTTTGCACTCTGCGCTGCGAAGCTCCACGTTATCGTGGTCGCAATGGACGCTGCACTCTCCAAACAACGTAGTCGTTCTTGGCGCGTCAGAAGTCGCTGAGGAAGCAGCAGTGACACCATACCCTCCGCTAAGGAACTGATTCCAGAGATTCCATTTGATGAAGCCGCCGCCGCTGCTGCACCTGAGTTCCCGTTGAACCCGCACCAGTGCACCGAGGCGACATTAATGTCTCTGAATGTTGATCTCCAGCGGAACAGGAACCAGCTCAAGAAGAAGCTGATGAATCCGCTTGCCGATGATGCTGAGGATGAACACGAACCGATCTCATCTATGGCCCACCGAGAGCGGAGGATGTACCAGTTGTCAATGAATCACCGTTGATGAAATCGAAGCCACCATCGCTGAGGAAGAGGAAGCGCAAGCAGCGCTGAGGAGCTATCCAACCTGAACGTTTGACTTTCGGTCGTCGCATCAACGCACGCAATCCGCTCGTCCCGCTAAATTGCGCGCAGCCGCTCGTGCTCGTGTCAACTCCGTTAAATCGGCCAGAATTGTAAAGGCTAAGGTTGCAACAAAAGCACGCTCAGCTCGTCTGCAACAATTGCCACAACAACAGCAGTTCTTTGTCTCCACAGTTTGTTGCACAAAGCACAGCAACAACCTTTTTCTACTACACCGCTGGTCAACTGCAGCAGTGGTAAAGATAACTCCATTCTAAATATTTTTCTGAAAGAAGGTGATGGAATCAAATCGGTATTATGACCTTATTACAAGTAAACAAGGGGCATAGAAAATTGTTAACAATTAATATTAAGATAAAGAAGACAAAGTGATAAAGATTTAAGAATTGTTAAAGATTTTTAGACTGAAAATAAAACAAAACCAATAAAAGCGAATTAAGTGTGTTATGCAATTGAAGGCCTGACATCGTCAATTATAAGTCGTCGAAGTTGTCGTATGGGAAATAGTTAAAAGTTCGGTAAATTCAAATTGTTTCTATTATAGCTGTTTGCCATTTTCAGCTCGCTTCTGCTCTTTGGTAAAAAATACATGTAAAAGCAGCAATAAAGTTATCGATTTGAATTTGTACAAGAGAGACTGCGGAAATCTAAAGTGGGTAAACCTATCTTCAGTGCTACGAAGCTTCGTTTGGTATATTTTAGATCAGTTTTACTATTGTGAATGGTTTAAATGACAAAGGAAAATACAAATTGCTTTTCTTGTATTTTTAAAACTTAAGGGGATATTCTAGTGTAGAATTAAAATAAAAATTTTTGTTGCATTTTTCAAAGTTTTTGAAAATTTAAATTATTTTGAGATATAGACAGTTTAGTGACCAGCCTCAATCTGGTTCGGCTGGGTCTAATCGAACAAAAGACTTCACGCGAAACTAAAAATGCGTTTTCTAAGACCAAACTTTTCAATACGATACCCATGCTTTCTCGAGTTCTACTGACCGATTTACTTGAAATTTTCAGAGAATCTTTGTTATATAACTCTTTCGAATATGAACTAGCTTCATCCCAAATTTAAATTTGTACTATTTTAAAAAAATACGAACAAAGAAAATGGTAAAAATGTTTTGTTTTCAAACAATTGACATTGTGTTAAACAGTTTTTGTTTACTTATCGCTAGTTCAAACAATGCGACATCACTACGGATTATAATATTTTTCTTTATTTCAGATTTTCTTCAATTCAGATTTCATGGGTATGCTCATGTGCTAATTTTTGAGACCCCTATCCTCAGCTGCTAGTTTTTAATTTTTAACTTTTTTTTTAATTTTTCTGTAGTCTTGAACATAAATAAATAATTAATAAAAATCGACAGTAAAATGTTGGTTTTTTACAACACTTTAAAATTACCTAAAATTCATGTTTCTAGATAGCATACCCTCTAAGTCTTAAATTGAATTATAGTAATTTATAGAACACAAAAATTAAGGGTTATTACAATGCGATAAAAATAATTAATCCACTAAATAAGGTTTATAACTCTATCGCGCATGCGTCAGAAGACATGTTAGCGCATGATAAAATGACGAATGATGAAATATAATTATATTCTTTACGACATCTCGAAAGCATTAGACATTCTATGAAGGTCTCCTCCGCGAAGGCGTTCTAGTGCCGTACATCATAACCGCTTAAAACTGTAGATGTAAGCTCAATTGAAACTTAAAATAGTCTTCACCGACAGACTAACCGAGAGCTAGACATCTCGAAATAACTACCAGTATTTTGAGATGCACAGAAGAATTGTTGAGTGTGTGCAACATATTTCGGTACTATAAAATTAGCAACTAAACCGAATTCAATCCCACAAACTTTGAAGTTAAAGAAAACATTCCCAAAAATGCTTAGAGAAACTTCATGACAATAATCCTTCCAATTATTGCATCAGGACTTAATATTCGCTTATAACAATCACGGCTCAAAGGTACACCTATTTATTTATACCATACACTGGCAGCCTATTTAAATATAACATCTATTAGTTGCATCATAGAAAGGAGAACGAAAACGATATAAAAAATAGGCAAATGTACGCCATTTGTACAAACATACAAAAACAGAACTTTAAATTACGGTACTGCGAAGCGTGAACAATCATTAAATATTAATAAGGCATTTTATGAACTTTTAAGGTCATTACCGCCAAGCGCAAAGCAAACGCTTTTACGACAAATTAAAGAAATTAGTATAAAAGCCTGAACTGCTGGGAAAATAGTATCAGTACTTGGTATTACTTACCTAGTAAAGTACATACTACTAAATATTTTAGAAATGACTCGTTTCCTACAAATCCTGTTAGTGGCCTCCCTGGCTTTTGCACTCTGCGCTGCCGAAGCTCCACGTTATCGTGTTCGCAATGGACGCCTGCAACTCTCCAAGCAACGTAGTCGTTTCTTGGCGCGTCAAGAAGTCGCTGAGGAAGCAGCAGTGACACCTTACCCCTCCGCTAAGGAACTGATTCCAGAGATTCCATTTGATGAAGCCGCCGCCGCTGCTGCACCTGAAGTTCCCGTTGAACCCGAAGCACCAGCTGCACCCGAAGGCGACATTAATGTCTCAGTGAATGTTGATCTCCCAGCGGAACAGGAACCAGCTCAAGAAGAAACTGATGAATCCGCTTTCGCCGATGATGCTGAGGATGAACACGAACCAGATCTCATCTATGGCCCACCAGAAGCGGAGGATGTACCAGTTGTCAATGAAATCACCCCCGTTGATGAAATCGAAGCCACCATCGCTGAGCAAGAGGAAGCGCAAGCAGCTGCTGAGGAGGCTATCCAATCTGAACGTTTGACATTCGGTCGTCGCCTCAACGCACGCAAATCCGCTCGTCCCGCTAAATTGCGCGCAGCCGCTCGTGCTCGTGTCAACTCCGTTAAATCTGCCAGAATTGTAAAGGCTAAGGTTGCAACAAAAGCACGCTCAGCTCGTCTGCAACAATTGCCACAACAACAACAGTTCTTTGTTCCTAAACAACTTGCAGCTCAACAACAACGTCCCATTTTCTACTACACCGCTGGTCAATTGCAACAGTGGTAAGGATGTGTGGTTCGTGGTAAAACGCAAAAGCGGTTATAGATACGGTAGTATAGAAAATTGTTAACAATTAAATTTAAGATATAAGACAGTGTTGAGGTGTAAATATGTAAACACAAATTGTTAAAGATTTTTTAGAGTGATAATAAAGAAAAGTATACAAAACAACCATAAATAAATTATGTGAAGTAGGCGAAAAGGAAAACACAGAAAGTTTACGAAAATTGCAGGAATGTAGGTGTGAAACATATTTGGAAACATAGCATTTTGACCACACCACAGTTAAAGAAATAAAACTTCATCTGAGTAAGGTTCACAAGCCTCGGTATTATTACTCTGGTGCTAGTGGTTTTATATTACCTAAAAGAATTTCGGATGAGTCCGTAATAAAGTTCAATAAAATTATAATTTTAAACTTCACAGCGGTCAGAAATCTTCCCTAAATGAAAGCTTTTTATATGCTATCGAAAGCCTTGGAAAGGAACTTTTTGATTTTGATTGGGCTAGTGGTATGATGCTCAATGCTGTACACGGTTTTATATTTTAGAACGGAATACTAAACGCTGGCTTAATGACATAACTTTAACAGTTTGTCAAAAAAGGTTTAAAGCCGACTCATTGATGATGACTTGCAATCGTTTTGTTTTGGATCTTTTCTAGCCTGCTGTGTCACCTGTCCTCTGGATTAAGTATCATGCTAAAATGCATTTTCCGAAAAAATGCTGCATAGAAATTGAAGCATGCACTCTCCTACCTATTATGCGATTAACTCAGACGGTTCCTAAGAGTTGGCATTGTGCTTTGTCCTTTAGACTTCGTCATGGTCCAATATTAGCATTAATTTCATAATCCTCGTCTGAATATCTTTATTCATCTCGCTCTCTCATCTGTATTTTATCATAGACCTATTGAACGCACGTTTTGCCAGCCAACATATCGGTTTGAACTATTGTTAAATGAATACGCCTGCCTCCCATTTCAGCCTCCTAATAAAAATGAAATTGTTGTGTAGCAAATATGGTTTTGACATTTGCTATTCTTTAAGGTTGTCGCCTGTTTTATTTGCTTTGCGTAAAGCAAAAGTGCTAGAGACAATTAAATCACCGCCTCAGCCAGTTTCCAAGAGTCTTCATCATGTCCTTCCCCACTTCGGAGTTTAGACAACTGATCACGGTTTTGATATAATAATAAGACCTATGCTAATATTGTATATTACGTCGGGTCCAAAGAACTTAGAAAAGACTTTTTGGTCGATGCCTTAAATTTCTTTCTTTGAAACTGTGACACAAGTTTGGGATGGTCGAATTTTACTTTTATTCTGTTCTATCGAGATATTTAATCAATGGTCAGTTTGATCGATTATGCAAAATTACCTTTCGCTGATTCGTTCTCTTGTTTTAGCCATCAAGAAGCAAGACAACATCCTATTATACCCCAAATATTCTTCTAAATTTGTCCTTTCTTTTAAAGTGATTTTATAAGACACAACGAGATCAAGTATATCTGAAAAATAAACGTATCACTACTTTTCATTTTACAGAACTTCTTCATTCAAAATGAAGTTCCTATTGACAGTCTACAGAGGGACACTATGTTATAATTGCAATTGCCCTTTAACAAAAGTAAAATAAATTAACCATTTTATACAACAACACATCTAAACATCTAATAACTATTCTATGTGGTTCGTTTGCTTATGGAAATAAGTACGATAACAATAATTTGAATATAAAATCAAAAACTCAATGATAACTTAGCAATTACAGTTGTTTGTGTATAACGAATGAACAAGTAAAGTGCACAGAAAATCAAAAATAAAACAAGCCGAATTCAGAACTTCGTTAGCATAGGCAAGTATGTGCATCATTAAATATTAATAAGGCATTTCTGTACTCCTCATACTCGAAACAAATGGTCTTGCGTTAAAATGCAATAATTGGTATATAAGCCTGAACTGCTGGGAAAATAGTATCAGTACTTGGTATTAACTACCCAGTAAAGTACATACTACTAAATATTTTAGAAATGTCTCGTTTCCTACAAATCCTGTTAGTGGCCTCCTTGGCTTTTGCACTCTGCGCTGCCGAAGCACCACGTTATCGTGTTCGCAATGGACGCCTGCAACTCACCAAACAACGTAGTCGTTTCTTGGCGCGTCAAGAAGTCGCTGAGGAAGCAGCGGTGACACCATACCCCTCCGCTAAGGAACTGATTCCAGAGATTCCATTTGATGAAGCCGCCGCCGCTGCTGCACCTGAAGTTCCCGTTGAACCCGCAGCACCAGCTGCACCAGAAGGCGACATTAATGTCTCAGTGAATGTTGATCTCCCAGCGGAACAGGAACCAGCTCAAGAAGAAGCTGATGAATCCGCTCTCGCCGATGATGCTGCGGATGAGCACGAACCAGATCTCATCTATGGCCCACCAGAGGGCGAGGATATACCAGTTGTCAATGAAATCACCCCGTTGATGAAATCAAACCACCATCGCTGAGGAAGAGGAAGCGCAAGCAGCTGCTGAGGAAGCTATCCAATCTGAACGTTTGACTTTCGGTCGTCGCATCAACGTACGCAAATCCGCTCGTCCCGCTAAATTGCGCGCAGCCGCTCGTGCTCGTGTCAACTCCGTTAAATCGGCCAGAATTGTAAAGGCTAAGGTTGCAACAAAAGCACGCTCAGCTCGTCTGCAACAATTGTCAAACAACAACAGTTCTTTGTTCCTCAGCAATTTGCTGCGCAACAAAACAACGCCCCATTTTCTACTACACCGCTGGTCAACGCAACATTGGTAAAGTGAGAGGGCTTATAAGAAAGTAAATAGATAGAGAATTGTTAACAATCGGATTGTAGAGTTGTTAAAAGATTTTTAGACTGATAAATATACCTAAACCGTTATTCGAACAAAACATATTATAAAATATGCGATCTTTAAATGTGATGTAGGTTGTTACTTTTGGCTGCTGAGGATTGTTCTGCTATTTATATCTATATCTGTTCTGATATTGAACATAATGTTAAAGTTTCCGTCCAGCACCCGACCTTGACGATAAATAGTATATTTGTGATTTCAGTACAAACACACGAAGTTCTTTATAAGTTCTCTTATAGTAAAACAAAATGAATATCTACTTATATTTTCTTTGTTGTTGATTTCATAATCACATTTGCTTTTGCCTTCATACCAAGTTTATTCATTAAAAATCTCAAATAGCCTCATAGCGCTCTGGAGCACGTAGTAACTCGATCGGTATTTCAAATTCTCTAGTTTATCCTCTTTGGGCTCCTTTCTTTGTGGCTCTGACTGCGCCGTATCGACGTATTGTTCGGACTTTTGAGCATTTGTTTTCTGTTTCCACTCCGGACTGTTGAGATCCCTTAGTGCCCTCTTCCTCTGGATATTGCTCGTATTCATAGTCGGCACGAAAACCACCATCGCTTATATCATCATCAGCAAAACTGGGCAACTCGGCAGGAGGACCGTAAATGTCATGAGGACTCGGTTGCCTCGGCCTACCCAACGAGGCGGTCGAATTGCCAATTAACCGGGCGATCCATAAATGTCGACAGGTCGTCGATGCTCGTTGTTGTGGCACTTTGCCATGCAGCGCCGTATTGCTTTGTGAATTCCAAGAGTGCCGCGTCTCATTGGGCAGTTCGTAAGTTTGAGACGGCCGATAACCGCTTGGGCGGTACTCACCTGCGTTGTGTGTCATCTTCCTCGGCGCTGGGCTTGTGTCGGAATGCTTGAGGATATCTGTGATGCAAAATACGATGACGGTGCCGCGCTGACGTGTCGCGTCCTCGGCAACATTCAGAACTAGAGCCAGCAGTAAGACGGTAATAATATTAGTTTTGACATTCTCGCTGAGCGCTCTCCTGCAAGGTGCTCTGCAAATTTACGACTTTTCGATTTGTTGTAATGCTTTTATAGCAAAATTTAATGCGAAAACTTGGCAAATGACAACTTTCCTATAAAATGATAGAATATTGTTTTCTTTCTTGTTTTCGAAAATCTTTGTAAACATTACATTCAAAAAATATGAATAAATGCCAATTTCCACCTGCAACTCGGTTTGTAACGAATCGGCCGCCACTGTAACCTTCATTCGACCAGCGAACACGTGAACGATTACTCGTGTGACCCGTTAACAAATTGAGTTTGTGATTCATTTTATCGCTTGCAAATTAGTAATAGTTATATGTAAGTCCATGCTTTGCGGTGACTTTACTATGCACAGTGTCTCGTTTAATAACATGGGTCATTTCATGTCAAATCGAAAAATAGTTGGACGCGTTCCCCACCGTATCAAATGAGTTTTGTGGAAAGTTTTGTCTTATCATAAAACAAAGTTCTGGCGAAAGAAAAAGTTTTAAATCTAAAATTTTACTGTTTTCCTGATTCATGAGTTTATTTATTTAATATTTCAGAAACTACTGTATATTAAACAAAGAACGTGGTGATTTTCAGAGGACACTTAGAGGTATGGGAAAAATGTTTTGAAAACAAATTTAAAACACCAAAATTAAAAAGTTTTGAATTTTGAAAATCTTAAAAAGTAAACATCGCGGAAAATTTTGCTTCAAAATTTTTATATTATACCACTTAATATCTAAAAAATTCCGAAATTTTCAGAGCGGTGTTCTTCTTGGTTTCAAAGGTATGAATTTTTGAATTTGGCAAAACGACTTTTTCTAGTTTTCAGCTTTGTGAGAATTAAGAAGTTACGTTGACAAGTCACAATTTTTTTTCATTTCAACCTTTTAGAAACAGAATGTATTTAAAAAAATTTGCGGAAATCACTTTTTTAATAGTGTCTACTTTGTCTTCATAGCAAGCTTGACTGAGGCTAAATGTATAGCAGCTCGTCAAGCAGTGCGGGTGACGAAGAATAAAAGTTAAGCAAAAAAGGCTCATTTTTGTACACTGTGCAGCCATATATTCGGGTATGTTGCCTATTTAAACGCATTCAACAAGTGTCAAAATTGAACTTCAAACAACAAAAT